GCATTCGTAAACACTGTCATCACTTTTCTGGCAGACAGGAAAGGTTAAATTCGCCAGGGACTCAAGGTTGATGGTGAGCACAATCCTCCACAACAAACTGTCCGCATGAATGGTTTCATGCATACTGTCTACTCCTTGCCAACTCCTCTGACAAGCAGACTTAAGAAATTCCCCTGACCACCACTGTGCAGCCTGCTTAAAGAGGTTTCTATCCTGGTATTTATGCTCACACCCCTTGAAGTCTGTACCTCTCTACATTTCAGTCTTGATGTCAGGTGATTAGGTGCCGTACTCAGCGCCAGGGTGGAAGCAACTCTATATGAAGGCATTTTGGACTGAAGGGAGGAGGTCAAGACTTAAAAAGTTCAAGTTGTACTTCTCTGAATTAACTTTGGCAATGCCTGAACAGGCAGCAACTGGATACTAAATGCTGTGTTTCACTAGCAGGAGGCTCAATCTGGAGCACATTGTACTCATGCAATTAGGATCAGTCTCACTGGTTATGCCAGTCTTTCTTAGGCTGAGAAACCACTTTAATAAAGATTAGCCACACTGCAATACTCATGCCTAAATATTGCAGTACAAGCTCTTTTGAAAGCTATGACCCATCTCTTTAACTAGGAGTGGTACAGGGCACATCCCTGTATACAGACAAGCAGATTTTGTCCTGATGCCATCAGCACTCTGAGAACTGGAGGTTTTTTCTATGGGGCTGTCTGCTGTAAGCAGAATCTCACCACAAGAAAACAGCATTCAGAAAAGCCACGAAAAGAAACTGGGTGGGAGAGCCACATATCTGAATTACAAAGAAGAGAGAGAGAGAGAGAGAGATAGGAACTTCTCTGAAAAAGGCAAAAAAGGATGAAACAGAACTTAACCAGATATAATGAGACTCTTTTTCAACACACCTGAGTTTCTTTCTGAAAAAAAAAAAGATACAGTCAACTTTGTTACACAGAGAAAAATGTGTTTCTGAGGATATATAGCTAAAGCCACTTGCTTGCTTATGTAACTGCTTTCTCCTTGTCAAAGAAGAAGCAGAATCTTTGGATCTGGCTGTCGCATACTGTGAGAGGGTGTCTGTCCAGAAATGACAAAGAAGATTGCAGCAAGATAGATTGATCCTACCAGTTTTCATCTCCCTGGATTACCTACTTCAAGGCAAATATGTGCTAGTACTGATTTCCAGCCCTTCTCCTGCATTTTTAATTCCTTGTCCCTCCAGTGTATGGCTGAAGTAGGCTTGATACAGTCCTAGCTGTTACTGGGTAAGTAACAGCTTAGGGGGTGTTACTTCAGTTGCCCAAATTGGGGGTGCAGTTGCAGAGATCTCCCTGAGGCAGCATTTTTTTAGCTGGTTCAGATGTGCAGCTAAGAAACAGCAGTGCAAGGTGTACCACAAGCTATTTGCCTAATACAGAATGTAGTCCAGAAGAAATTTGCCCCAAGTATAGCATCATTGCAGCTGTGCAGCTTTTACTTTACAAACTGCAAATGTTAGCAAACTTTTACAAGTCATCAGTACTGATTTGGTCATACCTCAGATTTCTTGAAACTCTGTTATACTGGACAGTGGAAATAAGCTGCAATATGCTAAGCTAAAATCATGTATATAAACAATTGCAAATCAGATGCTTTGAGCCGTGCTTAGTTTAAGGCCTTAATGTCCTAAGCTCCCTTAATTTTCAGGGAAGGAATGATGGGGGTAGACTTTACTTCATATAGTTATTTGGAGGTCAGAGATTACATAACAAAATAAATTGTGAGACGCCTCTGGAGACTATCCAACCCCAAATCTAAGCAGGGCCAGCTTAAATCAGGTTGCTTAGGCTTTTGACCAGTCTAGTTCAGGGTATCTGCAAGGACTGAGACTTCACAGTCTCTCCTGGCCTATATGAGACTACCCTCATTATGAAAACATTTTTGCCTATTATGTAACCAGAATTTTCCTTGCTGCAACCTGTGGTCATTGATCTCATCCTTCCACTGTGCACCTTCAAGAAGAATCTCTATTTCTACAAAGTTCATATGTTCCAACTTGCTTCAAGTCTGACCTAAAAATAAAGCAGATCTGCAAAGGACAAATGAGCCTGATACTGAATTTAAAGGAGCTATACTGCTTTATCAGCTTGGAGAATCTGGCCCTTCCAATGTCAACAGTAAGGCAATGTATAGACAGCTGTATCTCTAAGCATCTGAAAATGCTGACACTTTTAGCTGCCTTGTATTTTCCGGCTTGGTTTCAACAGCCAGCTAACCTGCAAATGACTTTCACGAAGCATAAAAGCACACTTGAATATCCCCAGCTTTTCCTTAAAAAATAGCTCAGGAAACTCAGACAGAGTCTTATTTCCCCAGAGACTCTAGAGCCACATTTGAAAAGCCAAAGTTACACTTCCAACACTTCCTAGTCTTACATCTTCCACCCACATTCTTTATTAGACTGTAATTCTGAATGCTGTTGTTTGCTAAGGGATCTCTAAGCTGAGGTCCCAAGGCAAAGGGAACTATCAAGGCTACAGTCAGAGAAAGTTTCATCTTGCAAGAGAAAATGTTAACATAAAGTTCCAGATATTTTGCATTTCCTAATAGTTTTTAAAAAAATTAAAAATAGAATGACTGGTTACTTATTGAAAAAAAAAAGTTTTCTGTATTGCCTACTGGCAAAAGTCTTATTAGTTCACAAGAGTCTATTTTGTTAGCAATTTAATTTAATATATAGTCAAAATCAAAGTTCGTCCTTCAGTCTCTACTGGCTCATAACTGACCTTATGTTACTGTATTTTGTTCAATCTGATGAGTTTCAGCTTTGCAAAATCTGGTTTCAGTAGGATTGACACTTCTGAGCACTGTGCAGACCCTCCCCTTACATAAGAGTCTTGTCTATAATACAGTTCACCTTTCCAGAAGGAAAAATGTGGAGGATTTAGAGTGGACTGATAGGGAGTTTCTTTTGCTCATCACCAAGTTCTCTGGGTCATTTTCATACCCAAGAAGCTGGTATGAGACTCCAGAAACTCATGTGCCTGTTCTCTCTGAAGCCATGCTCTCTGGTCCTGGACATTTCTCAGGTGCCAGCAGGACAGAATATAGCAAGCCATAGAGTACATGGGAGGTGAAAATCTTCCAAACAAGAAACAGCATTATGAACTGGTAACACTGACTTATTTACAGGGGATATAGTGTCCTGCACGGATATTTCCCTTTTCTTGAATATAGCAATAAACCCCCTTTACAGTAATCTTTTGAGAAAGTTCAAGTAAATGTAATCAGGGCTTCTTAGGAGAAGGTGCCCTTTATACCTTCAGCGTAAACACACACAAATATTTCTCATTTCAGATCTCTGCCCCAGTAGTGCCAGCAAGATTCAATGGAAATAACATTTTTCTCTTGAGGCTGAAGCTAGAGCTGCAGTTTAATGAGTAGTACTTTTATAGGCTGGTGGAATGTCTAATGATACGGATTTAACTGTGTTGGACATCAGCTTTATTAGGCTGTTCCTGAGACATGGTAGTATTGACAGTCATGATAAATGACACTCCTCAGTTATTCTTGCATGAGTGGTTTCCTTTCAAAGTCCCCAGAAGGTTTAGAAAATATGAAATATTCACAATGATATTGTGTCTGGGCTCCTTCCTACCAAGTTGATGAACAAAACACTTTAATTCTTATTTTCTGTGTCAACAAAGTCACAATGAGTTTTTGATTACAGAATGAAAAAATGTCATTTTCTGATTAGAACAGAGCCTGCTTTATATTGGCCTAGATGTTTAGTTACCTTTACACTGTTTTAGCCCTCCAAAGGATGCTAATGGCTGAACAAAAGGGGGAAAAGGTACCAAGTCTCTTTGAGAGGTTAGCTTAGCCCCTCAAAGTTAATTGTTCCCATTAGAAAGAGTATGCCTCTAGTTACATAGTATGAATTGCTAGTTGTCATCAGACCATGGAAGACCAAAAGCAGCCATTCAAAATAGCAATTTTCTCTAACAACATGGTTGCATTGACAATTACTTCAGGTCACTGAGTAGCAAGCTCATCACAGTCAGTAAAATTGTATTAGAATTTTTATGCACCCATCAGATGCAGTTTTCCAAGCTCAGTAGAAAAAACTCTGTGATTCACAATGCTTGGCATATGGCTTTTTGTGCTGGTTGCTCAATGTCAGCTGGAAGATACTCCATGCATCAGAGAAGATTCCAGCTTTGGGATGAGGCTGAACTCCACATCATGCAGCTCCTTTTTCCTCTTCCTTGCAAGACATTCAGCATAATTTCAGAGGATCTGAGACCTCACTCTAACTTGCATCAAGTGCTATACACAGTTCATGATCTAAATAACATATCCTGGTGTAGGAGGGCATTTTCAAAGCACTATAGGAGTGTTTAGGGAAGTACTTTTTGTGATCACACAACAGGTGAAACAATGGAGCAATCTAGGAGTCTCCTTAGGAATTCACAGCACCTATACTTCTGTATGGGCTTTAAGGCCTTATTCTTAAGGTTAAGTTCTTTAGGTTAAGCTTGTTTAGAAAGTCCCCACACCACAATGGTACAGTCAGAAAAATACCTTTTCTTTGCAAGAGCAGAGTTAAACTGCTGGCTATCCCTACTGCTGTAGGAATGGTATGGGAAGAGAATAGCAGTCAATCAGGGGTCAATGGTTGGTCCAACATTGAAGGACTTTGGTGACAAACTCATTGCAGGGCTAGTGTGGCTAAAATACATAGGCGTTTGTAGCTGTTGACATGCAGTGGATCCATGGAATTAGCAGTGCAAATGGACACTTTTGACTCATTCCTTTAATGATAAAGGAGTGCATTCACGTTGTCTTCTAGAGAATGTCTGAAGCTAGTCACCTATGATAAGTACATATCTAGAAGGAGCTGTAGATGCTATCCCAGCTGCAGAGCGATTTACAGAAATTGCTGCATCTCTGAATCTTCTTGTGGTCCTGTAGCCATTTCCTGTAAAAAGTAGTACATCTTTCCTTGTTTTTCACAGCTGAGAGGAAAGGGAAACGAAGAATCCGGACAACGTTCACAGCTGAGCAGCTCCAGGAACTGGAAAAAATTTTCAAAGTGACTCACTACCCGGATGTCCATATTCGCAATCAACTGGCAGCAAAGATAAACCTCCCAGAAGCCAGAGTTCAGGTACAGTGTGTCTCCAAAAGGCTATGTTCACTGCAATTCATTAATTATTTGGAGTGCATTCTTAATAGTTTATGCCTGGGTGGCAATGCTGATGAGATATGTGACCTCTCTCTTACCCTACAGACGAGGCCACTGGCACTGTTCTCTTTTTACAAATAGGGAAAGAAGTATTTTTCACCCAGCTGTGACTAACCACATGGAATTAATCAAAGGGTTAACAGAAGCTCTGAGCATACTAAATGCATAGCAAATAGGAGTCACAGATGGTTATGAGTAACCTGTTGGACTCTGTAGCGACAGAGCAGCCATTTATGAAAATATTTATTAATCATTTATCAACCATTTCTAGGCTAATATTCATCCAGTACAAACCGTCATCCATATCCATCTTCCATAGGGTCTCAAAAAATATGAAAATAGTTGCCAGAATGGAAGTGCTTCTTAGTGTTCTGTATTTCAATAGGACAGGCAATAAATGCCCTGGCTATAATTTCAGTGCACAGAAACTAATCTGGTTTCCCTCAGTTGTAATATAATGTTGCTGACTGAGCTAAAAATTGACCCCAGATTCTTACTGCGTGGGAAATCTGCTACATTAAAATATACATACCACTCTGTATTGGCATTTGGTGTTGCCTACCAGGCACTGTTGTGATTTTTTCATGTGGCAGTTTCTGCACTTGCTGCAATGCTATAGTCATTGGTGTACTTCTTTGCATATATCCCTCTCTAACAATCAAAGTTCAACACAGAGCTGTTTATTGACTATGACATGCCTGGGACCATTGACTAGCCATGATAATATCACTTCATCATTAGGTGACAGGGAGAATTAGACCTGCATTGCTACAACATTCCCATTAGCAATACCAATACTCCAGTAATGCATTTCCCATAGCATAAAACACAAACTGGGCTGCCAGTCAGTGTTCTCCACAGAACAATGAATCACATGAAAGAACAAGGCATTTTTCTGTTTTAAAAAAAGTTGTTTATTATCTGTATGGGGGGAAAAAATGAGTTATTATGGGAAACATCAACCTGAGGTGTAAATGAAAGAAGTAAAAAGTCCCTCATGTATAAAATGCAGATGGCAAATTCATGACACAGGAAATTCTGTCTTTGACCTCATCCTGGGTGATAAAGGGAAATCAGCCACAGAACTAAAAAGAAGCAGTAACTTAGGTTCTAGTTACAAGTTATAGTTTCAATTGACTGCATTTGTCACACAAATCATATAGCACACAGAGAATTTGCGTGTGCTCTTGCTACTTTGAAATGGTTTTGACAAAGCTAAAAGCTTTGTGTAAGTTAAATCACCTCAGAAATATAACTTAAACATCGAAAAGTGAACAACCACTTGGTAACCAAATGAAGCCCTTCATAACTGTGAAAAATCTTGTGTCCTCCAATCAAGAAAAAAACTTATGGTTGGTGTGAAACAGCTTAAATGGATAGATGAAACTGTATAACTGCATGTGTTGCACAGAAAAAAATAAAAATTCTGTATAACTAAACATGAGAAACAAGAAATTATAAAAATAAATAAACAAAACAGGAGGGCGCAGGTCAAAGCTTTGGTCAGAAAAATTAAGGATCAAAAACTCAATAAAAGTTGATTAAGAACAAAAAAAAACCACCAAAGTGATCAATTATACGGATCTGTTACTTTATAGAAACAGTAGGACTGTCAAGGATAATCCATAAATGGCAAAGATGTTCAGTCATAATTTCTTCTCTGTCCTTGGAAATATTTCAGGTAACACTTTCTATAAGGATAATGTTGAACAGCAGCTGCTACAGACAGTTATTTTTAATCTACACATCTAAGTAACTTACTTCCAGTGGTTCTGAAGAAACTGCTTGAGAAGTAGTTTAGGTCATCAGTGTTGATATTTAGTTCTGGAGCATGAGAGACATTCCATTCCAGGGCCCTTGAAGAAATCTAATGTGTCAGTATTTAAAGGGCAAACAGGACAACCAGATAATGATTGGCCTGTCAGACAAATATTGATTTTTGGCAAAAACTATGAAAAGAAGTGTATATTCTGTTAATGGAGAGTTAAAGAAAAGATAATATATTTAATGCTTATCAGCACTGGTTCATGAAAATAGACACTGCCAAACTCATCTTTTTATGGTGAGATTTTTAGTGACAGTTTTAAACTGAAAGAAGGTAGATTTACTTTGTGTATGAGGAAGAAATTCTTTATGGTGAGACTGGCAAGACACTGGAACAGATTGCCCAGAGAAATTGTGGGTGTCCAATCATTGGAAGTGTTCAAAGTCAGGCTGAATGGGGCTTTGAACAGCCTGGTCTAGTGAAATATGTCCCTGTCCACAGCAAAAGCATTGGAACAAGATCTTCTTTAAAAGATGCATTCCAATCAAGACCAGTCCATGGTTCTATGTATTTGGTTAATAAAGTTTTGATATCTGCAGTAGACAGAGCATGAGGTACAGGTTTAAAACACAATAAAAAGGACTCATGCTGGGTATGGAGAAATAATTTTAGATGTAAGGGTTCTGGAGAGCTGCTTGGGAAAAAAAGAGCAGTTTGGTCTGAGAAGTGTTAAAATCTTTGCCTTTAGTTAAATAAAGTAAATCCATGAAGCAAGAACTTTATCCCATGTGCAAATTTTAGAAGGAGCGCTTCAGAGACTGAATGTTGGCTGGAGTGCCCCCATTGCCCTCCATCACTTTGTGAGTGTTAAATGGTGCTGTTTCACCATATAACTCCTGCATGGTTGAAAGGGAATGGAAAAGTTCATACAGACAAAGCAGTTTCCAGACACCTGCAAACCCAGATAAACAAAACTGTCCTCTCAGTAACCCCAGCTACTTCTAACTATCAGCAATATAGCAAAGGGCTCCTGACATTCCCATTACTTCTTGAGTGAGAGATGCAGAAATAACTGAGCTGCTCGTTATTTGGCTAAAAATACATATGTATTTACATCAAATAGCACCTGTCTTCAATAACCAACACTTTGTGTTGATGTGAACCACTTGCTTACATTCAAATAACAAATCCCTTAGCAAGCTAGAAACTACAATTGAAGGAGGTTTCAACTTTTCACAGCGGTGCAGCAAGATGCACAATAAATACATTTATACCTCTGCCAGAAGGCAGATTGGTCAAATCAGCTGACAAATGAAAGGAACTTCCCAGAGACAATTAGTTGTCTGCTTTCCAGTGCAAAAGAGATGGCCAATAACATACTCAGATTGCTGAGTGATCCCCTTGGGTCTTTCACTTTGGTCCCTTATGTGAATTTCCAAATGCTACCAGCTCAATATAGATAGAACCCTGTTACTACATCTCCACTGGTGACAAACTTTTATTGCAGCATACCAAAACATCTACGTGGATCTTTTCTCAGTCTATTCACTTGGAAACAGGGTAGAAGAGCTCAGCCATGAGATGTCACACCTTCTAGAGAAAAGAGAATGCTGTGTGCATTGACCACTGCACAGCTTTTTCCACAGAAGGATCTGCTGTTCTCAGAGTGCCCTGGAAAACCTACAATACTGTCTTTCCTTGAACAGGGTGATCCTATTTCTTCTGAGAGCCACAATAGAAAACAGGGTATAATGGTCCAGAAATCCCATATGCTATGCAAAATGTGAAAAGTGCTCTGTCAAACCCAGCGGTTTACTTTAGATTGGCCTCTAGTTCTGCTGAGCTGGAGATCAATGTTGTCTGATCCTCAGAGGAACTGTGAGAAGTTCCTCCTTCATATTTGGTTAATTTCTGTGCCTTTTCTTTCTTGCCTTTATCCAGATCTGGTTCCAGAATCAGCGAGCAAAGTGGAGGAAACATGAAAAGTTCGGCAACTTTGGTGGCCTTCACTATCTGACAGAAGTTGATTTTGTTCCTGCTCCCAAGTCAGATATCACAGTGAGTATTGGACACTTTTTGTCAAAGCCACTGAGGGAGAGTCAGCTATCCTTTACCAGGTAATCACTTCACCAGTAATTCCGTGGGACTACCCCAGAGAAGGAGCACTGGAAAAGACAAAGTTGGCAATATGACAAGAAATCCCACCATAAATTCACTGATCAAATAACACATTTCTTCATAGAATTAAACCTGTTTCATAAATATTCTGGGAGATGTCTCTTGCATGGTGGTCCTTCCCCATTTTGCTTCTAAATCACTTCCCTGTAAATCATACTTTGATTCAGAATGTCTTTATAATCAGAAATTTCCTGAAGAGGAGGGCCTAAGACATTTGCAGCCACAAAGTCATGTTCCTTTACGGACAGAATCTCTTTACAACATCCAGCTTTGTTTTGGCTGACCAGTACCTTGACCTATGCTTTAGCAGTCCAGGACTGTTATTTTTTAGTCTACTACACAGGCTCTTTCCCTGACAGGAGTTTTTTCATGGCTAGAAAAAAGAGTATTTTGCTTTGTGTCCTGGGTGACAACACACCCCACTGGGTTTTAGGAAGTCTGTTTTCCTAAACTTTTCTTCTTAATTACGGATCAGCAGGGTAACAAATAAGGTTGATTGTAAATTTCATCTAAGTAGAAGTCCATATTGATTCACCTGAGACTATGCTTTTATTCTTGAAAGGCTCCTAGCTTGATGCCAAGAAAGCTCTCTGCTTCCTATCCTGCCACGGGATACTACTCACCACTGCAAGGACAGCTGACAACTGCCTGGCTGCCCAGCACACTCTCCTTCACTCCACACCATGTGGAGCTGCTGCCCTTCCCAAAACCATACTTGCTTTTCAATGTCCTGCCCCCTTACAGCTCGCTGCTACCCCGCAAGTTGGAAAGGAGCGGTATCTGTGCCAGCTCCTCATAGAGGAGGACATGGGGCATTGGGGAGCTTTGGGGATGCCTTTCTCCTCATGTCCTCCGTGGAGGTGTGCGGTTCCTCTCCTCGAACAAACCTGCTGGGATGATGGGTGGCAGTGGTGCCAGGTCACCATGCTGGAGAAGTGCTGCCGGGAATTGCCACAGCCCAATGGATGTGTGCAAGAGGCACCAAGGACCAGAAAGGAGCTCCTCATCTCCCTGAGGAGCAGCACACTCTGTTGAAACCCAACCCTTCAACCAGCACTTCACCAAGCAGCCCTGCTAAAGGACTGGGATTTTACTCAGCCATGAGACGTTGGATGACCCTCTTGCACAGATGGCTTGGGGCAGGAAAGATGCCTGGGATAACGTGCGCATAGGCCTAAGGTCCAGCCAAAAGTGCTTTTCTCTGCAGGTTTTGGTCACTTTCCTCATACATTCTGGTCTTCATGTCCTGGGCTGCTGCAAAGAACGTGTTTAGGTCAAAAATCAAACTTTCAAGATACTTTTTTTTCCAAGTAGTCAAATGAGGGGGAGGGGGATTGATTTTTTGTCTGTGTTTTTGACTTGAATAAAGGGGCACAAACACAATCTGAGCTGAAATATTACAGTCTGAGCTCTGGATTTGGTACTGCAAGTCTCTGAGGGCAAGAGAATTCTTCAGCTGGTTAATTAAAATGCTTATGAGGAAGCCTCTCATTTTTTGACCTAAATTAAGAAAGCTCCAAAACTTCCCCAGAAACAATAACAAAAAGAGACAGCCTGAGTTTAATCTGCTAGGTCTAATAGGATGATATGACCCCACAGTTTAGTTTAATTGCAGATAAATAATGAGATCAGCCTGCCCATTTGCAGAATGGCTCTATCCCTGTTATTTACATAATACTCATCCCCTTCCAACATACGGTGCTTTTCTCTCCCCTGCTTATTCAGGGTCCAATCCTGCTTCCACTAATGTCTGCACTGTATATACTGTATCTGTACTCTTACAGGTCTTCCACAAGACTTTTCCTCATACCTGCTTGGACCTGAATTCTCTATTGTCTTCATCCTTGTCATTTTATCAGTCATCTGAAGGACACTCAGGTCAGATACAGGGCTAAACTTAGCTCCAGCAAAGAGCTTAAACACCTAACTGATTAAAATCAACACAAATTAGTTGTGTTCACCTCATGCAGCTTCAGATGACTGCATTGTAGCCACACACACACTCAAATTAAGGACCTTGAGCTTACTTAAAACAAGAAAAAGTGATCACGCTAAAGTTTCTGAATTAGGTGCAAGTCACTCATTAGTGCAGTTTCTGGACTGTGAATTGTCCTTATTCAATGATTATCTGGAATATTGGCATCATAATCATCTAAAGTTAAGGGGACACTACTCTTTGCACAATAGCCCAGGAACTCAAGCCAGTACCTGCATTGAGATAGCTTTTCCTACATGAATATTTCTTTAGCCTAGAAGAGGATTCTGGGATGATCACAACGTGACCATTTTCCTTGGTCAGGATATGGAGGTAAAAAGCTTAGGATGCTACTTTTACATTGTTTTATACTCAGATATTTCCACATAATACCAGGTTGGACATATCAGTCCTTGGGACATCCTCAACTCTGCAGTTCTTCAGATGTATAGGATTGCTTTGGGCAAACATCTCTTAAACCTGACAAAGAGTTGCTTGAGGGAGAAGTCATCCAAGGAAGCACAAGACATGAGTATAGAAATGTAGTCACAGTTTCATCCTAACCTTCTTTACCTGATATCAAGTGATTCAAGTGACAGGGTTTACAAGTCCCCTGGGGGGGACTCCTGCAGTCTCACAGCTCTCCATGACATTCCACTTGCATTTTCCGTATGACAACTTCAACCTTTAATCTTCCCTAAAACCCCTTGTGACCTGAACAATTTCTACCCCTGACTTATGGTCCTGATTTCCATTTTCACACTGACTTTTTGGTAAAAGAAAAACAGTAAGAGCTAGAAAGCTTTCCTTTCATGGTTGCTGCTGTTGTTTTATGGGGGTGGCTAGAAAAGAGACATGGGGTTTTGAGGGGGTTGTTTACTTTTAAAGGTTTTTCTTTTTTTCTTTTTTTCTTTTTTTTTTTTTTTCATGTGTTTACTGTGTGTTTTGATCACAGTCAACAAGAGAGCATGCAAAGAGGGTGATGCCTGCTCTGCAATTCCGTGCAGGTACACACTAGATCTTGGGTCAAAAAAAGCTGTGATTCAAAGCAGCCAAACATCTTGTTCCTCATGATTTTTGACCAAGCTCTACATCCTCTTCCCACTATGTGCTCTGACCTGACTTTGCTGAGTGATTGTAAAATATCCTTTCTCTGTTCCTTCACATCTCCCCTTAGCCTGGACAGTGGGTCCCACCTAAGGGCCTACTTCTGTTTTCTTGCTCTGCTCACATTTTTCCCCTGTGTAGTTTGATTTGGCTTCTAGCTCAGGAACCCTCAAATGAGCCAATGTCTGTGCATCTCAAAGAGATTAACCCAAAAGACCTGGTATAAATAAGGGATTCATTCAAAATAAAATTGTCAGTGAATTGATTCAGATGGGCTTTTTTATCCAACCAGGAGAGTTTGGCTCTTCCAAGAAGGTCTCCTGTGACACTTCCTCCCTGCTTGTGTCCTTATGCAAACCTGCTCTCTTCCAGGGACAGCTTTACCCCACTTCCAGGGCGTGTTCTTGCTTCTGCTGAAATCCATCATTTACAGTGTCTATCCAAAGTTACCAGCACAGAATAATTTTATTTTCAAGCAGCTAACAATAAAAACTCACCTCCTGACTTCCCGAAGCCCGGCAGAATGGAGAGGGTGGGAAGGGAAAATGCCTTTCATTCCAGGTCTTCAGAGCTGGAGCTTCTGAAAGGACTCTGGAGTTTGATCAAAAATGAACCTGGTGTCAAAGCCACAAGGTGGGTTTAGATTAATGCTTTAAAAGGAAACCCAAACAGGTTTGGTTTTCCATAAGCTCAAAGAAAAAAAAAAAAAAAAAATCTGTGTCTCAAAGTAGCAAATTATTAATTATTCCAACAGCTATTAGATACATATTACATTGTCATGGGCATTTCAAGGAGAGGATGTCCCCTCATGGGGCAGCTTGCATTGGCTCTGACCCTTTCTGGAGCCATCATATCAAGCAGCACATGTTGGCCACCTGAATGGTCTGAAACCTGTTTAAGAATTAAAAGAGTACCAGCCAGCAGCCACGTGCCAGGAATCTGTAGTAGTTGTCCATTTCTCTGCATTTCAAAACTCTCATAGTCATGTTCTTTGCCATCACATTACTTGTCTTTGTCACATAGCTGATGTTGAGCTTATAGGACAGAAATTCACTGAATCCTTCATCATCTTTGATTAAATATAGATGCTGTTTTTTACAGCCTTGCAGACTCTGGGCCGTGTCAGCTGTAAATGCTTTCCAATGCTTCCAATAGCAGAAAAGAGACACTTTGTCTGTCCCTCAATAATAGGATAAGCCAATTTAACACTTTCTTTCTCTACAGGAAGCAATTCCTGACTGTTGGGTGACCTTTCCTCTGCTTGTGACTACTGAAGTAGGAAATCTTTTAGGGCTCTCAGCAATACCAGCCTTGTCTATCCCTGATCTTCCCTTCTGTGAAGCCTTGCTTTTTCCCACCTCCTTTCTTTTGTCTCCCACACATATTAACAGGACTAACACCCTTGCTACTTTTGCTTTATTCCCTCTACTAATCTCTTTGTGCTGCTCTGAACTTAGAGGTGTCTCATTCAACACTTCCAGGATTTCCCAAGCAGGAATAGATGCACACTCTTTTTAGGGGTGCCTGGCAGGGTAAACACCTCCTGAGGAATGACTACCATGAAAATCTTGCTGATATAAGGGCCTTTTTCCTTTGTTTTCCTGGAGCAGAAGTAAATAGGTGTCTGGTGTTCAGGGTCTATCATATGAATCCCAAGATTATCTTTCTTACAGTTACGAAAAAGCAGGTCCCCACCAAGGGGTCTAAAATCTGCACTTGCATCACAGTTGTTAGCAATCTTTTATTGATTACATTTTACAGCACTCCACAGTGCAATCTGGCTGCTCTCAGACACTTGGAATTTCAACAAATTTTAACTTTCAAATTCTGACATTTCTCAGTGTTATCTTTCTGCCTCAGGCAGATATCTTAAATCTAAGCAATTCAGTCCCCGAGGCTGGGGAAATTGCACTTTTTAACTCAGGGTGACAAAATTTTGGTGCCCTTTTGAAAACAGCACTTGGAGCAGGAGCTTGAAATCTGGCAGAGTTGACCTGTTCTGTTAATTTTGCTCTTTGCCGTCGTCATCACCAACTACTGTCATGTGGCCAGAGTATTAGTCTTTGAAAACTATTGGTTTGCACAGGTTTATTCTGTATCCTTTAGATAATAGCAATTACATTCCTTATGGAGTCGATGCTCCCTAGAAGTGTTTACTCTGATGGCTCAGCATAGTTTCCCCTCACAAGTTCAGTTCTTGGCTCGCTGTGAACAACACATGGCCCAGACTCTCATGAAAGCCAGCAGGGCCCTTTTCCCTTGCTTCCTGAATGCCCCACTGCCTCAATCACAAGATCGGGCTGGTGGAGCAATCTCCTCAAGCCTAATAGTGAAACACATGAAATAAATAATTTCCTATGACCACTCACAAAATATGTGGGGTGCTATGGGGCAAACACTGCCTTTTGGTCTTTACCTTGCAAAAATCTGCTGTTCAGCTCTCTGTAACTGGGGGCTATGAATGTCTCCAGGAAGGATGGTGAGCCTGACTGGAGGAGTCTTGTTCAGTCTCTGTTGTTTCCAACAGGAAAAATGTCCATCTACCTTGGCAGAACCAGAGATTGGTGTGTGCTGGAAAAAAACACCTCTAACACACATACTCACTAAAGAAAACTGCAGCCAGAGGCCTGTTCATATTGCACAGGGAGTTACTCAAATGCAGACCAGCATTAGCATAGCATTCCAGGAGTTAATATCATTCCAGACAATTTAATACTCTCCAGTATTAAAGCTGCTGTCCTTAGGAAAACAACAGCATGTGGTAGCATCTTATGTTTTCTGGTTTAATAAAGTCAAATTTGTACTCATGTTACAGTGCATGATAGTGCTGAAGGAGCTATGAAGATTAGAAACTCTTCTTCTGGGAAGCCAAGTCTTCTCAGCTGGTGTAGGATCTGTTGCAGTACAGAGGACTAGCCCAGGAAATGTTTTATCACGCTGTCATAAAATAACTGCTTCTTAGTGTAAATGTTTACTAGGAATAAAATTAATCTTGCGCCTTCATTTTCCATGGGGAGGATGTGATCAGGTAGAATAATCCCAGTCCTGCTTCTCCCAGCAGACCAGTAGACCCTGCTCAGGCTCATTGATTGCTCTCCTGGCCCCACAGCCTTTGCATTCCTTCCTGCACCATGACCCAGCCTACAAAGGGATCACCCTCTTTGCCCATACCAACCAGAGCTGTGCATCCCATCTTCCTCAAGGCAGAGAAAACTGAGGGTGCACATCCTGGTGAGTAGAAGCTGTGATCAATAGGTCTTGGGTCCAGCTGTGGCTTTTGGCCTGGGAATTGCAACAGTGG